CGGCACTCGTCGAGAGCTATTGGGCCCGATATGGACACGGAGTCACTCCTCTGAGTCCACAGCAACTGCTCGACTGTTCCAGTGGTCATGATATCTGCGCCAATGGGGCCGCCTTTGCGCCCATCTATGCCTATATTGGTAAACAGGGTATGACTTCGTTGGCAAACTATCCCTATTTGGCTCAGGTATACAAATGTCTTAGGAATTCAGTTGATTTGAAATATTTACGATTGAAATATAACTTTTGGAAAATTATTTGTATAACTGAACAGAAAGGGCGGTGCAATCGACAGAAGGAACGGCAGGTCATAGCGAAAATCGGTGGCTTGAAATGGATCACCACTGATGGCAATGAGGAACGGCTGTTGAAAGCCGTGCAAAGGGACGGACCGGTGGCGGTGGCCATACATGCGAGCGACGCCTGGTCTCGATATAGTCGCGGAGTGTTTAGCGGTCCGTGCGGTGGAGGCATCAATCACGCCGTCCTTGTGGTCGGCTATGGATACGACGGACAGTCGGACAGGGATTTCTGGATTGTGAAGAACTCATGGGGTGAAGGCTATGGGGACAGGGGTTACGTGTATATGCATAGGAACAGTGGGAATGTGTGCTCTATAGCCTCTCATACCGTTCAGGTGTATTGAGATAATTGCTTTTATTAAGTCATTGTATTTACAGAATGTTTAATAAAAATAAATGTTAACATTGTAATTGTGAAATACTTGAATAAAATGAATTAATGGAGTTTGTACTTATTTTTTACATTAATTACACAATAGTTTTAATATTTTGTAACATTGCTTCCCTATGAAGAGCAATGCTTTAAACCAATTGAAACCACAACTCCTTTAACTCCTGAAAACACGACTGAATTTCCTACAGATTTATTGATAGTATTCGTGGTTTTGTTGATAATAGGAGTGATTCTTGTGGTCGCAGTTGTGGTCACACATAAGAGGAGATGTCGAGCAAAGAAATCCGTTTCTATAATGCAAACCAATTCAATCGTATCGAGAGTTCTCTACACTCCGAGCAATACTTTCAGTTCAAAAAGCCCTAAAAGTCCACGAATCACATCCCGATCTGACTGACAAACCATTCAGACAATTGAAAACTATTTTATGCACTTTAATATCAAATATTTTTATAATAAAATTTTTATTCATATTTTCTTAAATTCAATTTTTAATTATTACTTAATGTTACTTTAATTGGTTATTATTTTTAATATCAATAAATTAGTAATTTGTTAATTTGAAATTAGTATTAGATTTTTACAAATCCTTATACAGTAGACTTTAGTTACTTAAATTATTGTTTATATTATCACTGATTGTGTCTTTGGTTATAATTTTTTGCGCTATAATTAGTAATAATTTATTACAAACATTAAGAACAAAGTGAACTCATTTTGTATGCAATTGTTGTGATCGAGTGATAAAAACATTTAATTATTTATGTTTTGAATTCAGATCTCAATTGTATTTATTTAACGAACTTTTTAGAAATGTTTTTGAAAAGTATTCAGAAGTTAACCATTAATTTGTACAGCGTTGTTACTAAATAAGGAACCCATTTGGGAGGCTTGGCGTTTGGACA